GGGAGGGTGGGGTCCCCCTGTTGCCAAGAAAATGTCAGGAAAGTGAGGGAAGTGCTTGGAGAAGAAGAGGTTTGTGGGTCCCTAGCCAACCTTCCCACCTCAGCCCTGCTGCTGTCCCCCAAGGACAGGTGACAGGCATGGGTATCTGCATTTCATTGGCTCCGTTCCTGGACCCCTGAGGGGCAAAGACAGCAGAAGGGGCCCTTTGTCCTCACCTATGATGCAGGGTAGTTGGGGCCAGGAGTTTGGACCTTCCAGGTCCTGGCGCAATTGGGCAATACCAGGTGTCCTAGTGGTTCTCTGCAGACGCTTCCCCTTCTCAAGGACCACCCTTCCTCTCATCTTTCTTTGGGGGGGGGCAGGGCAACTCTGGAGCCAGCTGAGAAGGCTCTTAAGAAAGCAGAACCTGGAATGGCCTGCACTCAAAGCAAGGCAGGGTTTGTGTTCTCTCCTGCCACAGGGGCCACACACCCAGATGCCACACTTCTGCTTTCAGCCTGCCTCTATACAGCCTTCAAGGCAGGGAGTAGGCCCCACGCAGGGTCACAGGCAGGCTGGCCTGTGTGCTACCATGGGCACCTTGGGCTGCCAGCCCTACAGTTGTGCTTTGTGCTCTTAGCTGCTGTGCTGAGATGGGGTGCCAGTGAGAAGTGAAGCCACCTCCCTTACTATCGAAGGAATACTGAAGACAAAGGGCCAATGTTCTGTTGGAGGCAGGAAGGAGATGCTCTAGAAAGCTGCTGGGTCAGGTTCTCTGTCCTGATGGACTTTCTCTCCTTTTGTCTGTCTCCAGGTCTGGAGGCCTGGTAGGGCTGAGCAAGAGCTGGCTTTGGGAGTGTTGTGAAGAAGTAGGAGCAGAGATCATGAATAGCTCAGGGCAGGGAACGGGTGCTCTGAGGGCAGGGCTGTGGGGGAGGCTTTGGCCAGGGCTGCCTTAGCCTTTCCTCTCAGGCTGGAAGCATGGTGGGACTGGGGGATGGATCTCCATTCTGCCCTCCCCACTCCAATGCTGGCCTCACTTCTAGGGCTACGCTTGGAGAAGCAGACTTCCTGCCTCCCTCTTTGAAGACAGCATGTTTTGGGAAAACATGAGGGCAGTGGGGTCACCCCACCCCCAATTCTTGGCAGAGACTGAGACGCAAGCATCACTTAATAAAGACCCCCAAGCTCATTTGTCTGCTGTACTCTCTGCAGGAGCCTTGCCAGGATGTAGAGGCTACTGAAGGGCACTTCCAAAAGGCCACTTTGAAGTGGACTGGATGGCACAAATGGACAATGGGAGTGAAAGCCCTGGAGATGATTTTGCAATTCCTTTTTTTTTTTTTTTCTCGGTCTTGAGGCTTGAACTCTGGGCTTGGGCACTGCCCCTCAGCTCTTCAGCTCAAGGGGAGCACTCTACCGCTTGAGCCACAGTGCCACTTCTGGTTTTCTGGTGGTTAATTGGAGATAGGAGTCTCACGGACTTTCCTGCCTAGGCTGGCTTTGAATGGTGATCCTCACATCTCAGCCTCCTAGTAGCTAGGATTGCAGGCATGAGCCACCAGTGCCCAGCTGATTTCGCAATTTTTTTTGTTTTTGTCAGTCATGGGGCTTAAACTCGGCCTGGGTGCTATACTTGAGCTCTTCAGCTCAAAGATAGTGCTCTACCACTTTGAGCCACAGCGCCACTTCCAGTTTTCTGGTCGTTAATTGGATATAAGAGTCTTATACATAGACTTTCCTGCCCTGGCTGACCAGTAATTGCAGTCATCAGATCTCAGCCTCCTGAGCAGCTAGGATTGCAGGCATGAGGCACAGGCACCTGGTGCAATTTGTATTTATTTTTTAATGGAGAAATGGTTCTTTTTCCCCCCTCTTTCTCCATTACTGGGGCTTGAACACAACACCTTGCACATGCCAGTTAAGTATCCTGACCAACATCCCTTGTTCCTTTTGAGACAGGGTTAAGTTGTATTATGCAACCCTGTGTCAACATCAGACCTGCCATGGTGCCTTCCTAAGGGTGGTGACCCAAAATAGTTTATAAAACAGTGTGGTTTGGAGATGGTTTGTCCCTTGTCCTCAAGACCTTGAATTAAAGGGAATGGAAAGAACTTCCCTGTTCATGGATTGGTAGAATCAATATTGTGAACATGGCCGTTCTGCCAAAAATGATATACAAATTCAATGCAATCCTCATCAAAATCCAATGATTTTCTTTACTGAGATAGAAAAAAAATCTAGAAATTCATATGGAACAACAAAAGACCTAGAATAACCATAGCAATTCTAAGCAAAAGCAATACGTGTGGTATCATACCACCAGATTTCAAACTACTACAGAGCCATAATAACAAAAACAGCATGGTATTGGGACAAAAATAGACCTGAAGATCCGTGAAACAGATTGGAAGGCCCAGAAATACCACATACTTAAATTAATCTGATATTTAACAAAGGAGCTAAAATGGAAAAAAAACAAAACAGCTTTTTCAACAATTGGTGTTGGGAAAACTGTACAGCCATATGCAGAAAACTAAAAGTGGATCCCTGGCTTGTCACAATGCACTAATATCAATTCAAAGTGGAGGAAAGACCTCAACACCAGACCCGAAACTCTGAAACTACTGTAAGAGAGAGGGGAGACATTAGAACTTCTAGGTATAGGCAGGATCCTCCTGAATAGAGTCCCAGGGATACAACAGATAGGAGAGAGACAGTGGAACTACATTGTTTGTGCACAGCTAAGGGCATAATTACTAAATTAGCCAACCAATTGAGAAAAGATAAAGGCCTAATATCCAGTATATACAAGGAGCTCAAGAAACCCCTCCCAAACAATGCCAATTACTAAATGGCCAAGGGAGCCAAGAAGAGACTTCTCAGAAGAAGAGGTAATGGCAAAGAAACACATGAAATGCTTTATCATTGCTGGCCATAAAGGAAATGCAAATCAAAACCACCCTGAGATATCTTACCGTAGTTAGATTGGCCAGAATTTTGAACAACTGTGTGGGGCGAAAAAGCCCTACTGGATGTAAACTAGTACAACCACTCTGGAAAGCAGTCTGGAGGTTCCTTAAAAAAGTAAACATGGGCCTTCCCTGCAACCTTGCTATACCACTCCTCAGGCTATGGTAAGAACACCTGCATACGCATGTTCATTGCCACACTAATAATAGCCAAGATATGGAAGCAACCCAGATGTATAGTTCAGTTTCTTTGTCCCTCCATTTCTCTGCTTCTCCTTATACTCCCAAAGACATAAACAGAACAACAACTAAAGCAGCCAAAGAAAAAACTTAGTTTCCATTTCCTGGAGTTCATTTTGATAAATATTTTTTAATGATCTGACATAAAGGCATTGTGCCTTTCTGTTCCTTTGTTAAGAGTATCCTCCTGGGCTGGGAAGGTAGCTCAGTGGTAGGGACAGCGCCCAGGCCCAGAGTTCAGGCCCCATGACTGGAACCAAAAAAAAAAAAAAAAAATGGGCACCGGTGGCTCATGCCTGTAATCCTAGCTACTCAGGAGGCTGAGATCCGAGGATTGCGGTTCAAAGCCAGCCAGGGCAGGAAACTCCGTGAGACTCTTATCTCCAATAAACCACTAGAAAACCAGAAGTGGCACTGTGGCTCAAGTGGTCGAGCGCTCACCTTGAGCTGAAGAGTGCAGGGACAGCGCCCAGTCCCAAAGTTCAAGCCCCATGACCAACAACAACATTGTGTGAGAATACCTAGAAGTATTGGTCCTTTCACAAGGGTTTTTCAAGTTAATGTCTGAGGGTAGGTCAGCCTTCTACAGTTTCTGGATGAGCTGGCATTTACCAATGATAACTTGGTCCTGCCTAAGCAGAGCAGGGTGACATAGTTTTGAATATGTATCAAGATTTGTGGGGCTAAGAATGTGGTTTAGTAGTAGCCTAGCATGTATGAAGCCCTGGGTTTGATTCCTCAGTACCACATACACAGAAAAAGCCAGAAGTGGTGCTATGGTTCAAGTGGTAGAGTGCTAGCCTTGAGCAAAAGCAGCTCAGGGACAGTGCCCAGTCCCTGAGTTCAAACCCCAGGACTGGCACAAAGGAAAAAAGATAAAGATAAAACAGCCTGAACTCCTAGGAAAACCTGAAATTGAGTGGTTGAGTGCACAGCTCTGAGGGGATTTGGCACTGTAGAACCAGAGCTGCATCCTGGTTTGACCCCCGACCCTATTCTAGGCAGTCTAAGCACAGTGAGGTTGGGACAAGTGGGCGGGACTGGCTGTGTGCAGGCTGAGTGAGCTGACTGCTAATAGGGCTGGGCCACCCTGTGCTGCTCCCTGGAGGCTGGACAAAGCTAGGATTGTTCCCTGGCTCCTTTTTGTCCCTACTCCCTGCCCAGGCCTGGCCCGCCTCCCCAGCCACTCTTTTCCCCTGTCAGCCTGGCTGCCAAGAGCCAAGGACCGCATCTGCTGACCCACCTTGGGAGACTTATTGCACGCTGGGTAAGGAAGCTCACTAAGGGTCTGACACCTCTTTTGGGGAAACTGAAGTAGCTGCTTCAGCTCCTTGTTTCTATGACAACTGAACACATCTCATTGCACTTTAGGAGTTTCCAAACCCTAGTGTTGAGTGTAGGGATCCTGAGGGGAGATGAACTCCAGCATCCTCTAGCTGCCTCCCCACCCTCCCACAATTTGGCAGAGTGCTCAGGCCAGATCTACCCACCCATTGTTGGAGGGTTAAGGGATTCTCTGGGAGGCTTGTCTGTCCTCTAGGGATATAAGGTAGAGACGAGGTTTATCTTGTTCCTAGCAGGGTCCTGAGCACTGAGCTCAGTGGCAGAGCATCTAGGAACCCACAAGCAGTGTGAGGTCGAGTATGAGCTGCCCAGACATATGGACCGTAAGCCGGACTGACAACAGGAAGGAGGCAGGGCCAACCATGGAGTTGCTGGAAAGTTTTAGCCTAGGGAAGGTCGGGGGAGTGTCCTGTTGTCCCTCCTCTTGGGCAGTGCCGTCCCTGATGGCCCAGCCCCTCTACTGGTGCCAAGGAATGTGCTGGGAGAAGCAGCCAGAGAAGCGGGCGGGGCAGCCGAGTGAAGGCCACCCGGAGGCAGCACCCACAGGTCTGGGCTGAGGGTCAGGGGACTCAGGTGGGATAGGGACTCAGCGCACCAAGGGCACAAGTATGATTCCCTGAGAAAAACCAGATGCCCCACCCCAATTCCTTGTCCTACTGGCAGACATCCTGCTTCTTCAGGAATCTTGCCCCAGGGCATGGGTTTTCTGTGCTCAGCACAGGGAACTACAGGAGTCAGGGCTCTTCCTGAGGCCAAAGCAGGAAGACTGGCTCTAGGGACTGAGAGACCCCTGGCCCCAAACCAGTCTGAGGCTGAGAGCCTCCTCAGCGGGGAACCAAACGACCAGAGGATGGGATGGGGTTGGGGGTTGCTGATATGCTGGCCTGGGAAGCAGGATCAGCATCCCCTGGTTTGAATGCAGTCCTCTTGAGCTCAGTGATCAAGGCCAGTCTAAACCTGGGTAGGGAAGGGTTTATGTCGTGGGGGTGGGGAGTCTTTTATCCTTCCCTACTCTGCCTTCAGGTCAATGTGGAGGTGTTGCCGGGTCTGGGCCGCCATGCTTAGTCTCAAGCTGCCGCAACTCCTTCAAGTCCACCAAGTCCCGCGGGTGAGCCTTAACGGGCTAACTCCTACCCCCAGGGCACAGATGGGGGCAGAAGTTCTTCTCCCTTAACTATTGGGGAGCCCCTCCTGCAAGATAACTCTTCCTCCATGGGAGACTTCCTCTGTTCTCTGAGGCACAAACTGCCATTTCTGCCTTCAACCAGAGTCCTCCTCCCTGTGTGCCCTCCTCAATCCTATCTTGTCCCTTGACTCTTCTTTTTCTTATATGCTCTGTGGGCATTAGGACCTGTGGTTAGGAATTGGATTTTGTGTGGCTTGGGGCCAGCGTGCGCCTCATCGTTATCTTCAGCCCTGTAGGGGCCCAGTAACACCCCCTTTCTCCCTGCCACTGCTACTTTCCCAGGTGTTCTGGGAAGATGGCATAATGTCTGGCTACCGTCGCCCCACCAGCTCAGCCTTGGACTGTGTCCTCAGCATCTTCCAGATGACCAACGAGACAGTCAACATCTGGACTCACTTCCTGCCCACCTGGTGAGAAGCCGCGGCCTCAGGCGCATAGGGGTTCGGCCAGGCCCAGCCCTGCCTGCCCTCGGGGTGCGGGGTCGCGGCCTGAGCACATGCCCGCGGCAGGTACTTCCTGTGGCGGCTCCTGGCGCTGGCAGGGATCCCGGGCTTCTGCGCGGAGCCGTACCACTGGCCGCTGCTGGTCTTCCTGCTGCCTGCCTGCCTCTACCCCTTCGCGTCGTGCTGCGCGCACACCTTCAGCTCCATGTCGCCCCGCGCGCGACACATCTGCTACTTTCTAGACTACGGCGCGCTCAGCCTCTACAGCCTGGGTGAGCCGGACCGCGGCGGGCGGCGGGCAGCGGGCGGCGGGCGGAGCGGTGCCGGAGGGAGGGGTGCGCGAGGCCTCAGCTGCCGCCCGCCTCACCGCAGGCTGCGCCTTCCCCTACGCCGCTTACTCCATGCCGGCCTCCTGGCTGCACAGCCGCCTGCACCAGTTCTTTGTGCCCGCCGCGGCGCTCAACTCCTTCCTCTGCACCAGCCTCTCCTGCTACTCGCGGTAGGTGTTCAAAACGCGCGCATGCGCGGGGCAGGGAACTCCAGGCAGAGGGACCAAAGGGGACAGCTCCACTGCCCTTGAGCAATGCTATTACCATTATCTCCTTTCGTTCTCGAAGCCTCCTGAGAGACAGCTGTCCGCCCATTTCAAAGATGTGACCATTTATTGAAGAATCATGTGACCCAAGGGCTTAGTCGCCAAGTTTCATTCACACCTATTTCAGTCCAAGATGCCCTCCCCTCTCTTGACTCATACCCTGCCAGGGGTGGAGACCAGATCGCCCTTTCTCCTTGCTAGTTTCCCGGAGATGGAGAGCCCTGGGCTTAGTAAGGCCCTCCGCACAGCCGCGTTCGCCTACCCCTTCCTGTTTGACAACCTCCCACTCTTCTACAGGGTAAGAGTGCCGAGGACCTCACTTGAGGCCCTGCCTCCTGTTTAAACTGTCACAGTGCCCGTTCAGACTGGTACTCTGCCTTCAGCCTAATCTCATTTCCAATCCCGAGATCCCTGACGTACCATTTCTGGTCCCACATTCCATACTATCAGCCCTGCTTTCCCTTGGCAGCTCGGATTGTGTTGGGGCAGGGCCCGCAGCTGTGGGCAGGAGACACTGAGCACCAGCCACAGCTACCACCTCCTCTGCGCACTGCTCACCGGCTTCCTCTTTGCTTCACGCCTGCCTGAGCGGCTGGCACCTGGACGCTTTGACTACATAGGTGAGTGTACTGAGCCTAGCCTGGCCTGGAAAAGTGAGGTGGTAACCCAGGAGCACAGAGAATGGGCTGAGTAGTAAATGGGTATTCCAGCCTGAGGAAGGATCCCCTCCCTTTCCTAACATTTTTCCTCTGATGGGCCTGCTCTCACTTTTCAACAAGCAGCAGATGCGTTATTGAATTCAGCTTGGGAATCAGGGTTATTTTTTGTTTTTGTTTTTCCCTCCCCATGGTATAGTGGAGTGGCAGGCAGAGGATGGTGGCTTGCTCTGGGACACAGGGTAAGAACAGCCTTGAGAATGGACCTTACTCTGTCCCATGTTCCTTCTAGGCCACAGCCACCAGCTCTTCCACATCTGTGCAGTACTGGGCACCCACTTCCAGCTGGAGGCCGTGCTTGCTGATATGGGATCTCGCCGAGCCTGGCTGGCCTCACAGGAGCCTCCACTAGGCCTGGAGGGCACAGTAGCCACACTGGGTGTGGCAGTAGCTGGTAACCTGCTTATCATTGCTGCCTTCACAGCCACCTTGCTTCAGGCCCCTAGTACCTGCCCCCTGCTGCAGGGTAGCCTGCTGGATGTGGGATCCCAAGCTAAACAACAGTAAAGTGCATCTCTGACCCTAGCCTAGAGGGATGCAGAGGCCTGGTCCCAGTACTGTAAAGGTATCCAGAGCTGGGCCTGAGTTGGGGACATCTCAGAGCCAAGAATCGATGAGGAGAGGCAAAGGAGAGAGGGCAGAGAAGAGGGAGGCCGAAGGACTGGTAGAGATGGAGAGGGCCCCATGGGCTTCTGATGGAGTGGAGGAAGTATTGAGGGTCTGCGAGGGGAGACTATTTTCAGGCTGGGGCTGTAGGAAGGGAGGTACTGGGGCTTTTTCCTCTTGCCCTGCTTCTGGTGCTCTTGAAGTATGTTCAGCCCAGGGAGAACTGACACAACTAACCCAGGCCACCCTGAATGCTTCTTAATCTGGTGTGTGTGGGGGGGAAGGGGCAGGAAGGGAGATGGAGGGACTGGGGACAGCACGCCCTTGCCTCTACCCACCACCCAATGTGCTCTTTGCTAGAGATGAGTTTGTCCTAGTCACAACTGTGTGCCAGGTGTCCAGGCCTTTGGAGGGCTGGTCTGTTTGGGAGTAGATTGAAGTTGGGAGTCCTAAGATAGGAGGAACCCTGATTACACTTTAGAAAGCCATCAACCATGTTTGGTGGAACAAAACAGATACAATAAATAAGTCAATTGACTTTGGGAAGCAGTTTCTGGAACTGGAGCTGAATCCTTTCCAACGCCAAGCCCTCCCTTCACACTCCACAAACTGGACAGACTCAGACCCTCTGGACTTTATTTTGAAGCAGCTGGGATGTTCACACGTGCAGGGCAGACTGGGAATGAGGAGGGAAGGGTCCCAGAGAGGAGCCAGGCTGCACTAACCACCTACAGTCCATGCCCTAGACCGGGCCATAGAAGCGTTGATAGGCATCTTGGAAGCCGATTTGGTCAGCCAGTTCATCGCAGTTGGGGTTCAATTCACATACCTCCCTCTTGGGCTCCAGGGGATCTGGGTAGGGGGCTGCGGCTCTGAAAAGACCCCAAAGTGGCATTACCACCATGCAAAGGGCCCTCCCCCTCTTCCCGTTGCATTTGGGGCTACAGAGCCTCTACTAGGGAAGACCGCCCTGCTCCATAACCCCTAGCAGCCAAGGGAGGCCACCCTACTGCAGCTTTCCCCTGACATTCTAGAAACAGAGGGCTGGGCCTAGGACCTTCTTTCGGCTTACCCCTGCCCCTGGTCCACGTAGCGTCGGGGTCTCTTCATCAGCTCGCTGCCTTCCTTCTTGGATTTGAAGGCTGTGGAGCAGAGGGGCAGGGATCAGCTGGCTCTTTCTAATGGCCAGACAGAAGGTAGTAGAAGTGGAGAATGGGGTTGAGGAAAGGAGGATAAGGGAGATTGACACGGGTCAGGCCTCGCCCCCTGTACCTGTACCTTTGCCAGACTCTGCACCACTGGGCTTCCCATCTGCAAAGGAAAAGGAACTGGTTTGTACCTGCCCTTTCCTAGGGCCTCAACTTCCTGCTCCCACTTTTCTGGAAATTTGCTCTGCCTTCCTTTCTCTACACAAATTGCCAGAGCTTATAAGAAGATAGCTAGAATACAGAAGGCTGAGAAGTAGGACCATAGTGCTTCTCCCTTATAGCTCAAGGGCAGTCTGGATCGGGGTGCCAATACTCACCTGCCCAGCCAGTGAGACAGAATGCAGCCAAGATCAGCAGGGTGAGGAGAGTGAGAGTTCTCATGGTGTCTGTCAGCACTTCGGCAACGTTAGTGCTCAGGATTCAGCTGACTGCCCCTTGCAGCTACCAGCACTTTATATACCCACTGGGCTGTGCCCCCGTGGTGCAGGCAGGGCAGGGGACACTGCCAGGGCTAATTGGGGGTCATGTGTCTTGGCCCTATAGGCCAAACCCAAAGGATGTTGTGGTTGGGGGCTGTGGCTGCCAGGGCAGGCCCCGAGATTAATGGATGATGGGTGAGAAAGAGGGTGCCAGATTATGATGTCACTCCTACCCCTTCCCTGGGGACTGCTCCACACCCTCTTGCCCCTACTCTTTTCTTAAAAACCAGCAATCTCAGTATAAAGCACTGGCTTGGCCCTAGGGGGAGCCAAGGGGGAGGAAGGGGGCTCAGAGGTCTAAAATAGGTTCAGCAGAGCTAGGCTCCAGTTGTCATAGCCTATGATTTGCACTGTCTGCCCCAGGGCAGGAGCCAAACCCCAGGAAGGGAGTACCAGGCCAGGCAGGCAATGCCCTCATTCACCCTGCAATCTGTTAAAAGGCAGGCTGGTGTGGGGCCACTTCCTGTATAAGTCCTATACATCAGGACTGGAGAAGAGGTCAGGGCAGCACAGGACCAAAACCAAAGCCCACAAATGTGAGACTGGGTGTATGAGGACAACCTCTCCATCTCTGGGGCAGGCTAGGTGACAAGTGTCAGTGTACAGGGGTAAGGCCTTCAGGGAGCAGGGAGATGGAGTCACTTTTAGGTTACCCAGCAATCCGCTAGCCAGTACAGCCTCCCTCGTTAACAGCCGTTGGAGGAACTTGCCCCCTAGTCCCATTCCAAAGTTGATAGGAAGGCCTGTCTACTGACAGAACATTGTGACCTAAAACATCCATCCTACTCAAGAGCTGCCACTGTCTCAGACTAGTGAGAAGAGAGGGTCCTGGCCCCTCTTTGTTTGGCCTGTGTCTTTGCTCACCTACCAACTCACCCATCAGGACTCAGTCTGCCCAACCTGATAGATAAAGCACTGGATGGGGAGGGCTGGCAGGAGGGAAGTATCTGCCTAAATGCAGCTGTTCCTCAGAGAAAAAGGTAAGCTGGGCTCTGTTTATGGGGAGGAGAGCACTTAGCAGGGGTCACTGTGATATCTTCCTGTCCTTGTCTCCTCAGGCAGCTCTAAAAAAGCCTACATATGGGTTAGGGTGAGCCTTCATCAAAAAAGAAAAACTTTTTACCAAATTGGAGCCCACCTCCTTTTCCCTCGGGTCTAGGAAGCACCATCTACCATCTGGTGATCCTGGCTGGAGAAAATTGAAGTAGGGAAAGACACAGTACCCAGGTTTTGTGGAGGGCCCCACTATGTAAAACCCTGCCACCTATGGATACTTTCCCAGAATTAAGCCAATTAGCAAGGAGAAGGGTAGGGTGGGTTGGACAGAGTGATACCTTTGGCAGTTTGTTCTGACCTCAGGAAACACAAGGGTCCTGTTTTCTGATCTGCTGCCCTCTGCACATGATCAGATACAATCCTAGGCCTAGTCTACTCCAGCCTAGAGGTTCCCAGAGCACTGAAGCTAAGGCCTTGACCTTGGCCAAGAGCTAGGGAGCCCAGGAGTGGTCTTGGCACAGGAAGCCCGGCGAGGAAGCATCCTCACAAATTATAGGGTAGAGGAAGAAGTTTATTTACAGATGTGGGGAGAACATGGCATGGCCCTTGGGCTGGCCAGTAAGGGGACAATCAGTGAAAACACATTCTCTAGGCCAGACCCAGGGATGGTGTGTGTGTGTGGGGGGGGAGTGCTGGCCATACTAGAGAAGAGGCTTGGTATCCCACCCCATCCCCAGGGAGAGCTGGCTACAAGCTTCCATGTGGAAGAAAATAGGAGGAATCTTAAGGTAGTTGAGTGTGTAACTCCATGGGAGCCCCATAGGTTTAGCGGCAGTTGGGGGGCCTGCTCCAGCCTTGTCCTCCGTTACTGCCTGGGGACTGGCACCATTTCAGCTGTTCTCAAAAGGCAGCCTGCCCAGGCCCAGAATGCTGACCACAGGCCCTTGACCTTGACTGCCCTCTACTCTGGGGCTTGCCTGTCTCCTCCTCACTCAGGCTCCTTCAGCACATCCAGCAGCTCCCTCTGTTCTCTGTGTAGGGCCTGAAACCAATGAGAGAGAAAAGATAGAGCATGAGGAAACTAACTTTGTCTCCTCAGTGCCTAATTCCAGCTAAGCTTTCCCCAGTACAACGTAGCTCATGTCACTGGTTTAGCAGGGTAGGTGTCAAGACAGAGGCACATGGGGACTCTCTGCCATTGAGCACATATACACAGCAACTGGGGTACCATGGTCACCTGGGATGGGCTCTCCAGAGCAGAGACCATTTTCAACAAGAGCCTGCAAAGTGGTCCCACATCCAGATTCCTCAGCAGAGCTTTTTTGTATATATGCCAGTAATGAAGCTTGAACTCAGGGCCTAGACACTGTCCCTTAGCCTTTTCCACCAAGGCTAGTGGTCTATCACTTGAGCCATAGCTCCACTTCTAGCTTTGTGGTGGTTAATTGGAGATTAGAGTTTCTAGGATTTCCTACCTGGGCTGGCTTGGAACTGCAATCTTCAGTTCTCAGCTTCCTGAGTAGCTGAGATTATGAGTGTGAACTACTAACTGGTCTTGTGAAGAGAGACCAGGAAGAATCTGTAAAGCATGAATTTGGGGAGAACAGGCAGGTCTGCCCCAAAGAGTGGCTGCAGGTTAGTCCATCTCGATGGATTCAGCAGTAGTGTTACCACTGGATCCTTCCTGAAGCTCCTCTTGGAATTGAACTTGGGTCAATAAGCCATCTTGTCACCCCAGCCACAAGTGCTACCTGTCCTTCATGCGATCACACCCTTGCCTTTCATCCAGTCACTTGAGGTCATATTCAGCAATTAAGTTGGCCTAAAAGAACACACTTGGGCTGGGAATGTGGCTTAGGGGTAGAGCGCTTGTCTAGCATGCATGAAGCCCTGGGTTAGGTTCCTCAGTACCACATAAACAGAAAAAGCCGGAGGTGGCGCTGTGGCTCAAGTAGTAGAGTAGAATAGAGCTAGCCTTGAGCACAGAGAGGCTCAGGGACAGTGCCCAGGCCCTGAGTTCAAGGCCCAGGACTGGCAAAACGAAACAAAAAAACCCAAAACACAGTTGCTGCTGGAGGATGTTCTGGATGTACAGAAGGCTTCAGAAATCATTCTAATGTGTGAGTTTTAAAAGTCCTGGCCATTGGGCTGGGAAGGTGGCTCAGTGGTAGAGCGCTTGCCTTGCATGCCTGAGGCTCTAGGTTCTATTCCTCAGCACCACATAAACAAAAAGAAAAAAGCTGGAAGTGGCGCTGTGGCTCAAGTGGGTAGAGCGCTAGCCTTGAGCTGAAGAGCTGAGGGACAGCGCCCAGGCCCAGAGTTCAGGCCCCATGACCGGACCCCCCCAAAAAAAGTCCTGGCCATGTTTACATGGAGCACCACTGGATGAAGAGGAGATGGAGAAGCCATTACCTGGGACAAAACCCCTTGTCCTCCCTGGACCTCAGAGACTGCAGCAGAGAACATGTGCTACGTGGACTTCAGCAAGAGCAGCCGGCGGGGGGAATGCAGGCAGCCTGACTGCTTAGGTCAAGGCTGGCAAGAAGCCTCTTACAACAGAGCTGATACGTGACTGTTACTGTGGGCCGCCCTCCTACTCCTCTCAGGATCCCTTATGTTGGCAGAGGAGAAGCTACAAATTTGGGGATCTCTAGAGCTTATCAGAAACCAAAAGGAAAGTAAACATGGCTTGATACTCACCTGCCAGGCCTGTTGCCGGGCTTCAACCAGCTGCTGCAGCTCTTCTACCTGCCTGCGACCAGCCAGGACAGTGTCTGCCAACTCCTTGTTCTTGGCTTTCTGCTTCTGGACCTGGCGCTGAAGGGTGTCCCGTTGTTGCAGGAAGTAGGGTGCCATGACACTGCACAAGTCTTTCTCTGGGATCCCACTGGGGCGCCTTGGGGTGGGCACATGGAGACAGAAAGGAAGGGATACAGGGCTGGGAATATGGCTTAGTGGTAGAATGTTTGCCTAGCATGCATGAAGCCCTGGATTCGATTCTCAGTACCACATAAACAGAAAAAGCCAGAAATGGCATTGTGGCTCAGGTAGTAGAGTGCTAGCCTTGAGCACAGAGAACCTCAGGGACAGTGGCCAGGCCCTGAGTTCAAGCCCTGGGACTGGCCAAAAAAAAAAAAGAAAGAAAAGGAGGGATACACGTGGAGGACTCTGCTTCCAAACTCAATCATTACTACCTCCAGTCTCAACTTGGGCTGTCAAGGCCTCTCGTGTGAAAATTCTCACCTCCTAAAACCTGTTCCTGTGAGTAGTGCTCTCCTCCATTCCTCGGCTTCATTGCCTGGGCATATCTCCCAGTCTGCTCACTCATGCCTCGTTATACCCCACCTTCTCTTCCCTTCCACATATGCCCCATCTCCGGCACCCTAGAGCTGGGGGTGATTTTCCAGTCTCCCCCTCTGTTCTTGTGCTCTGCAGGTATATATCCCATCAGACTGTGAGCTGGAAGGGTTGGGGTGAGGCAGGATGAACCTACCAAGATGGGGTAGCTCCTGACAGAGCCTGGACCCTGGGAGGCCCCAAGAAGTTTTGGCAGATATGAGAAGATAAGGAAAGATGGGTCCAAGAAGATAAGATTTATACAGGGAGTAGATGCCACTGTTTTCTTTTCTTTTTTGTTGTTTTGGGGCTTGAACTCTGGGCCTGGGCATTGTCCCTCAGCTCTTCAGCTCAAGGCTAGTGTTCAACCACTTGAGCCATAGCACCACTTCCAGCTTTTTCTGCTTATGTGGTGCTGAGGAATTGAACCCAGGGTCTCATGCATGTGAGGCAAGCATGCTTCCACCGAGCCACCTTCCCAGACCAATGCCACCATTTTGTAAAAATTCTTTATCAGTTGTAAAATTTCTTTTTTTTTTTTTTGGTCGGTTGTGAGGTCTGAACTCTGGGCCTGGGCGCTGTTCCTCAGCTCTTCAGCTTAAGGCTAGCACTCTACCACTTGAGCCACAGCACCACTTCCAGCTTTTTTCCTTTTGCTTATGTGGTGCTGAGGAATAGAACCGAGGGCCTGATGCATGCAAGGCAAGCGCTCTACCACTGAGCCACCTTCCCAGCCCCCAGACTAGTCTTGAGCACAAAGAAGTGCAGGTGTGGCACCCAGGCCTTGAGTTCAAGCCCCAGGACTGGCAAAAACAAAACAAAAACAAAAGCACACAAAAAACTTAGGCACAAGTGGCTCATAATCTTAGATACTTGAGGCTGAGATTGAAGATCTCAGTCTGAGAGCTGGGAAGGTGGCTCGTGGTAGAGTGCTTGCCTTACATGCATGAGGCCCTGGGTTTGATTTCTTAGAACCACATAAGCAGAAAAGGCCGGAAGTGGCACTGTGGCCCAAGTGGTAGAGTGCTAGCCTTGAGCTGAAGAGCTGAGGGACAGTGCCCAGGCCCAGAGTTCAGGCCCCTCAACCGACCAAAAAAAAAAAAAAATTCAGTTTGAGGCAAGCCAGGACAAAGAAGTCTACAAGGCTGCTTCCAAAATAACCAGAAAAAAGTAGGACTAGAGACATGGGTAGTGTGGCAAAAAAGTGAGCAAGAAAGATGAATGAGCATGAGACCAAGTTCAAACTCCAATCACACACACACACACACACACACACACACACACACACACACACACAAATAATAAAGATCACAAAGTGTAAAAAAGGAAAAAAATACAAAAATAATTACTAGCCAGGAGCTGGGCTCACACATGTAATCAATCCTAGGCTGAGATCTGAGGATCATGTTTCGAAGCCAGCCCAGGCAGGAAAGTTCATCTGACTCTTATCTCCAATTAACCAGCAAAATATTGGAGATGGAGTTATGGGCTCAAATGGTAGAGGTCTAGCTTTGAGCAAAAAAGCTCAGTGACAGGCCTTGAGTTGAAGCCCTAGGATCCACGTACACACACAAAAAAGATATTACTGGGCTGGGAAGGTGGTTCAGTGGTAGAGCGCTTGCCTTGCATTCCTCAGCACCACATAAGCGAAAAAAGAAAAAAGTCGGAAGTGGCGCTATGGCTCAAGTGGTAGAGTGCTAGCCTTGAGCTGAAGAGCTGAGGGGCAGCGCCCAGGCCCCAGAGTTCAGGCCCCATGACTGGACCCAAAAAAAAAAAAAAAGATATTACTACCTCTGCCCTGTGATCCTGTGAGGGAGAAATGGGTATAGAAGGCTAGAGCCTAAGCCGGGCGCTGGTGGCTCACGCCTGTAATCCTAGCTACTCAGGAGGCTGAGATCTGAGGATCGCGGTTCAAAGCCAGCCCGGGCAGGAGAGACCGTGAGACTCCTATCTCCAGTAAACCACCAGAAAACCGGAAGTGGCGCTGTAGCTCAAGTGGTAGAGTGCTCGCCTTGAGCTGAAGAGCTGAGGGACAGCGCCCAGGCCCAGAGTTCAAGCCCCATGACCGACAAAAAAAAAAAAGAAGGCTAGAGCCTAGTCTATTGTGTTAGTCTCCGTGCTCCACTCATCCCTCTGGGTTCTAGTCTTCTATCCTGGGATCACTACCAGCCAGCTAGGCTTCCCACTGAAATGTCAGCTCATTCATTGCTGAATCCCTGGCATCTTCAACAGTACTGAGCAGGTAGTAGATGCTCCCTATGTATCTGTTGACTGAATAAAAGCATCAAAGCCAGATGCTCTGTCAGTCTAACCTGTAAGTGATTCCAAATTCATGATTCTATCTCTTCCACATATCCTTCCCTCCCATTTCTCCCTCAGGTCCTGCAGGTTCTGAAAAGAGCTATCCTAGAGCTTCCTCAGTGGCCTCAAACCAACTCTTCTAAACCCCTGGGCAAGGTGTGGGGCTCATTCAGAGGGAACTCTGCAATTCAGTTGTTTTTGGTTATTAGTCTGTTTATTTTCTCTACTAGTCAGGGTCAAACAGTCCCCCCAGTCTTTCTCTTTCTCCCCCCCTACCTTTTTTTGTTGTTGGTTTTGGGGCTTGAACTCAGGGCCTGCCCTGAGCTTTTTATTAGCTCAAGGCTAGTGCTCTACTATTTTGAGCCACAGCAACACTTCCAACTTTTTCTATGATTAATTGGAGGTAAGAGTCTCATGGACTTTCCTGTTTAGGCTGGCTTTGAACCACAATCCTCAGATCTTAGCCTCCTGAGTAGCTAGGATTACAGGCGTGAGCCACCAGCACCATCTTCTCTCTTCCTCTGAAAGAGGGTCTGCCTCAGCCTCTTAAGTAGAGAGATTACAGGTGTACGCTACCACATACCTGGCTCAAAGCATTCTTTTTCAGGAGCAAAAAGCTAGTATCTCTGAAGTCAATCAGACTAAGTCTCCAAGAAGCTGAGGCACTGTCTCTGTTATCCTGCAGCTTCCCATTCCTATCTTACCAGGCTGGTCCCTTGTGGTCTTTGCCTTCTTCCACAATTTTGTCCAGTGAATTCAAGACAGCTTCTAGGTTCCCTTCCTCTTTGATTTCTGAGATTTCTTCCTGAAAAGAAAGGAGGAAAGAGCTGTAATAATACTAGGTAAGATCACAGTAGAAATTTGCTAAACTGATAATAGCAACTTGGTAAGATTTTGGCTAATTTCTATTTTGTTTTTATACTTTCCAAATCATCCCTATTTTTCTGAAATGTGTAGCTTTTATAATTAAGAAAATAAAATACTCTGATATACAGAAATTAGATCTAAAATACACTGGGATATAATCAATTATAATACAGGATTCTTTTTTTTTTTGTTCCAGCATTTATTAATTCAAATTGAGATTGTGATTAAAGATTATCATTGTCCAGGATGTTATTATACCAACTTACTATAACCACATGTTTATTGAGAAATATTCCTTTTTTTTTATTGTAAAGCTACTATAAAGAGGGTTACAGTTACATGAGTGAGGTAATGAGTACACTTCCTCTTGAACATTGTTACCCCCTCCATTGTTTTCCCCCTACCATCCCCTCCCTCCCTCCCTTCCCCAGGTTTTTTTTTTTTTTTTTTGATTGTGATTAAGTGATTACATAATTTCCGGAATTTCACAGTATTGTGGAATAATGATGCTCATTTAAAGTCACAAGTTCATTCTAACTTTCCTGGAGCAAATATAATACAGGATTCTAAATACTCACATACAGTGAGACCTAAATATGATATTCAGGAGAGAAACAGAGGTATAATGCCTATGTGCACCTTCATATTTATATAAAATATACATGCTTAGATAAAATAGAAATATTTAAATATGTTAAAATATAGTTATATAATATGTAAGTATAATATAAAACTTATATTCAAGTAATATGTATTTATATAAAATATATATTTATATAAAATATATAACTACGGTATGGAAACAAGAGAGCTCTTTTTTTTAATTTTAATTTTTTGATGATTCTGTCTTCTTTATGTATGGTGTATGAAAGTGTACTTCTTGTGGAGGGCTGGAGGAGGAGGGGACAGAACTCAAGGGAAAATGGGTGAAAAAGTGCAGCAGTGGAGATCACTGACTGCAACAGACATGGATGAAAGTGAACCATGCGCCGTGTGGGTGGAGAGGGGAGGGAGGGAATGGGAGAGAACGAGGGAACAGATGACACTATGTGAAAGGAAACGTGCTTATTACCTGACCTATGTAAAGGTAACCCTGCTGTATATCACCTCTAAAACAACAATAAATTAGAAGAAAAAAGAAAATATAAAACAGGAAACATTTAAAAAGAACCAGTTTCACTGCCAGCCCATTAATTCTATTTTTTTTCTTTTTTTTTTTTTGCTATGCAAAGAAATGTTTTACTGTACTCATGGTTATTACTTAAACATTGTTATCAGAATTCCAAAACAACTGATTTTCTCCATGTAGTTTTTTCAAGTTATTGCTCTCTTTTATTAATCAACTGTGATCTGTATACAGCTGTGTATTTTCTTTTTTTTTTTTATTGTAAAGATACTATACAGAGGGTTACAGTTACATGAGTGAGGTAATGAGTACACTTCCTCTTGAACATTGTTACCCCCCTCCATTGTTTTCCCCCTACCATCCCCTCCCTCCCTCCCTTCCCCGAGGTTCTTTTTTTTGATTGTGATTAAGTGATTACATAATTTCAAAGTCACAAGTTCATTCTAACTTTCCTGGAGCAAATTGTCTATCACAGTCTGTAATATATAACAGTGTGCACATGTTATATACCATATTTGTGATCAGCAGCATGGGGATATTTAGTAGTGGTTCAACCAGATGAGCGGGAGTTCTTTGTTTCTTAAGTCCTGTTGGTTTTGTCGTATCACCTAACATTTTGGATTTAGCATCCACTTATCAGGGAGACCATGTACCGTTTGTCTCTTCGTTCTTGGCTTACCTCGCTCAACATGATTCCTTCTAGCGCTCTACCACTGAGCCACCTTCCCAGCCCCCACTTCTAACTTTTTGATGGGTAATGAGTCTTATGGACTTTCCTGTCTGGGGTTAGCTTCAAACCATGATTTTCAGCCTCCTGAGTAGCTAGGATTACAGGCCATTAGCATTTAGCTTTTTTTTTTTTTTGCTAGGGATGAAATCCAGGGCCTCACACATGCTAAGCAAGCTCTCTAGCTCTGTACCACTGAGCTACATTCCTAAACCTCATGTTCTTTGTTTTTGTCCTAGTCCTGGGGCCTGAATGCAGGGCCTCAGCACTGTCCCCTAGCCTTTTTTTTAAAATATAATTTGAGGGGCTAGGAGTGTGGCTAGAGCGCTTGCCTTGCATGCCTGAGGCCCTGGGTTCGATTCCTCAGCACCACATAAGCAAAAAGAAAAAAGCTGGAAGTGGCGCTGTGCCCAGGCCCAGAGTTCAGGCCCCACAACTGGAGCCCCCCACCCCCCAAAAAAAAGTTAGAAGTGAAGTTGTGGCTCAAGTGGTATACTGTCAGCCGTTAGCAGAAGAGCTAAGGGATAGACCTTAACAACACCTTAATAATAACAATAAAATTATATATTTTTTAAAGGCTCAGGGACAGAGCTGAGGCCCCAGGTTCAAGGCCCAGGACTGGCACAAAAAGAGAAAAAGAGAGTCAGACCCCTATGCTGTCAGTCCAGGATAGTCTTATCAATATGTGGAATTAGCAAAGGGTAATATAGTGCAGATAAGAAAATCAAGAGGAATGTTGAAAGTCAAGAGGAACAGCTTCTAGAATTAATGGGAGGGCTGGGAAGGTGGCTCAGTGGTAAAGTGCTTGCCTTGCATGCATGAGGCCCTGGGTTTGATTCCTTAGCACCACATAAGCAGAAAAAGCCGGAAGTGGCACTGTGGCTCAAGTGGTAGAACGCTAGCCTTGAGCTGAAGAGCTGAGGGACAGCGCCCAGGCCCAGAGTTCAGGCCCCACGACCGGACCCAAAAAAAAAAATATATATATGTGTGTATATATACATATATACACACACATATCTATATATATAATTTGATTGTTATTAAGGTGTTTTGTAAGTTAGGTAAGTGAGCACATTTCTTTTGGACAATGTCACCCCTTCCTTTGTGTTCCCCGTTACTCCCTCCTGTCCCTGCCCACAAGTTGCATAGTACCTGAGATTTTTTGCTCAAAGCTAGTGCTCCACCATTTGAGCCATGGCTCCGTTTCTGGCTTTTTTGGTAGCTAATTGGAGATAAGAGTCTCACTGACTTTCCTGCCTGGGCTGGCTTTGAACCTTGCTCTTCAGATCTTAGCTTACTGAGTATCTAGGATTACAGACATGAGCTATCAGTGCCCCGCATATGTCCTTTATATCCATAGTTTATTCGACTTACTAAATGGCTAGTCTAGCTGGGTGCCAGTGGCTGATGCCTATAATCCTAGCTACTCAGGAGGCTGAGATCTGAGGATCACAGTTCAAAGCCAGCCCTGGCAGGTAAGTCCATGAGACTCTTTTTTTTTTTTGCTTTATGTGGTGCTGAGGAATCGAACCCAGGGCCTCATGCATGCAAGGCAAGCACTCTACCACTGAGCCACCTTCCCAGCCCGAGACGCTTATCTCCAATTAGCCATCGGAAAACTGGAAGTGGCGCTGTGGTTCAAGCGGTAGAGTGCTCACCTTTAGCTGAAGAACTCAGGGACAGCGCACAGACCCAGAGTTCAAGCCTCAGGACTGACAAAAAAAAAAAAAAGGCTTGTCTATACTAGGCATTGTCCTGGGAGTATGATATATAAAGATGAATAAGACCTTAGCTTTCCCTTACTGAGCTCTTCCTTATACAGTCTAGTGGGCAGACAACATATTAACATATAATTACAATATACAATGATGAGAGCAGGGGTCACTCAAGATACCCATGTTACTTGGAAGGGAGAGGTGACTGATGCTGCAGCCTGCTGGGCATACAGGACAGTCCTAGGTGCTGAAAAGACAAGAGAGTTGAGTCACTACCTTTAGGGTACTGACAATCTAGGGATAAAACCTAAGCCAATGGTATCTTTAAGGCTTCTTGCAACTCACCCGGATAGATGTCTGCAATTGAGTTATAAACTTGTCATAGATTCGCTGTGTCATCTCAGGCTGCAACTGGTAGAAGTGTTTGTAACAGTCAGTGAACCTCTGGTAGCTGGAGGGAAGAAGGAGGCAGATGTGGGGAGGGCCAGCATACAGCAGCTATCAGGTACTGGGCTCCTATGCTTCTTAGCACAGGATTCAAGCTTTGTCCACTTTGTGGTCCTGGCTAATGAAACGGATGCAAATTTTCCATCTCTAGTGCCACAGGATGGTTCACCTCACCACCAGTGCCCATTACCTTCTCCATTACTCTCAGCAGAGCTTTTTCTTTTCTTTTTCTAATCAAAGGCTAGAGTGTAGGGCCTAGGCACTTGTCCCTGACCTTTTTCACTCAAGACTAGCAGGCTACCACGTTGACCACAGCACCACTTCTGAGATAGAGTCTCATGGACTTTCCTGCCTGGGCTGGCTTCAAACCATGGTCCCCAGATCTCGGCCTCCTGAGTAGCTAGGATTACAGGAGTGAATCAGTGGTGTCCAGCAGCAGAGCCCTTTTAAGTTCAGAGGTTTCTTTAAAAGTGGGACAGTGAAGCCAGGTGTTGATGGCTCATGTCTATAATCGTAGCTATTAAGGAGGCTGAGATCTGAGGATCATGGTTCAAAGTCAGCCAGGCAGGAAAGCCCATGAGACTCTTGTCTCCAATAAACCATTCAGAAACCGGGAAGTGGCAAACACCGAAGTTCACGTGAACATGGCAATAGCCAATGTACAGTGGTTTGAAGGCTCAGTGTTTGGGCTAATGAAGGGTAGCAAAAGGTTCATCTTAAGTTGGGGAGCAGGGGTAGCCTTGGTGACCTCTCATGACCTCCATCATGAAGCAAGTTCCAAGTAACCAAAGAACAATTCAAAGGACAGTTCTGGGCATCATTTCAACCTTTAGCAGTGCCAGCTATGTTATTTTGCTGTTGGTTCCACCGGCCACACAGCCTGTGGCTACAGGGAGGGACATATGATGCCTGCCCTGGTGGGGCCGAAATTGAAACTGGATAATTGTGGCTCAGACACCAGAAAGCCTGTTCTTCTAGCCTACTGGGGAGAAACTGACTGCCCTACCACTGTTATCTATGAACTCTTGTGGGTTGTCCCTTAATTTGAGAATTCAGTGATAGTGAAGGGCTCAGAAACAGGCACATTCATCCAAATAAATAAGATGGGAATAGACATTGAATAGGACCATGTGACTTAAGCAAAGAAGTTAGTCAGCTAGACTGGGGTCCAAAGTGATTCCTTCCTTGTCAGCCAAAGCAGACTTGGCAATAGTTTGAATGTCCTGTAGACTTGCTGAGAAATACATTCAGGGAGAAGCAGGAAAGTAATATGTTCGGAAAACATTCGTAACCATTTATCCCCCAAGTACAAAATGTTATTTTCCCATGAAAGCTGCAATATCCTTGTGGACTTCTGCAACGTAGACTCTCTGGGACACCCAGGGTAATGGTAAAAGCACACAGACACTGTCTCTTAGACAGGGAACCCCCTTAGACTGAAGTGAGACACAGGCTGCCTGACTCTAGGCCTGCCCCTCTATGAGCTACTTCTCCCACCCTAGATCTTAGGCCCCAGGGCTTGGATTGGACAGCACAGTCCTCCTCCAGGGACTCCCTTAAGGCCTCTGTTCCTGTGCTCTACTTCACCCCATGATGAAACAGGTTCTTGACTTTGACCTTCTCAGGTACACAGGTGGCCACCCAGCTATGTATTAAGTTAAAAAAAAAAAAAAAAAGCTGGCATTGGTGGCTCATGTCTGTAGGCTGAGATCTGAGAATCATGGTTTAAAGTCAGCTGAGGCAGACAGATCTGGGAGTCCTATCACCAATTAACTAGCAAGAAGCCAGAAGAGAAGATGTGGCTCAAGTGGCAGAGCACTAGCAGTGAGTGAAAATGTTGATTGAGAGATCAAGGCCCTCAGTTCAAGCCACCGCTGTTATAGTATGTGTGTGCACGTGGGTGCACACACACAGAGACAGGTTCATATGACCAAATTTTAAAACTGAAACCACCATGTAACAATATTAACTGATTGTAGTCCCTTTTTTTGGGTCAGTTGTGAGACTTGAACTCAGGGCCTGGGTACTGTTCCTGAGCTCTTTTGCTCAAAGGTAACACTCCACCACTTTGAGCTACAGCTTCACTTTGTTTTCTGGTAGTTAATTGGAGATAAGAGTCTCCTGGACTCTCCTGCTTGTATAGGCTTTGAACCTTGTTCCTTGGATCTCAGCCTCCTGAGTAGCTAAGATTCCAGGTGGGAGCTACCAGTGCCTGGCTTCATTATTTTCTCTTAAACTTTTTCCCTCCTTTTTTTTCTGTGCCAGCACCAGGAGTTGAACTCATTCTCACTCAGTATTTTCATTTATGACTGGTGTCCGATCACTTGAGCCACAATTCCAGTCCCTTTTAGGGTGTTTATTTTCAAGACAGAGTCTTACTTTATGCCCAGGTTGGTCTGGACTATGATTCATTATTTGTACTTTCCCTTGTTGCTGGGCTAACAAGTGCCATCCTGCCCAGCCATTGGTTGAGGTAGAGTTTCATGAACTTTTATGCCTAGGCTGTTTTTGAACCATATTCTCTCCATCTCTACTTCCTAAGCAACTAAGATTACAGGCTTGAGTGACCACACTCAAGTTTAAGTTTCTTTGAAACATTACGTATTATCTGAGTAACCTTCAATTTTTTGAGGGGGGAGGGAGTACCAGTCCTAGGGCTTGAACTCCCAGGCCTGGGGCTGTCCCTGAGCTTTTTTGCTCAAAACTAGCATTCTTCTATTAGAGCCAAATCTCCATTTCTGACTTTTTGGTGGTTAATTGGAGATAAGAGACTCACAGTCTTTCCTGTCTGGGCTGGCTTTGAACCATGATCCTTAGATTTCAGTTTCCTGAGTAGCTAGATTACAGGTATGAGCCACCAGCACTTGACATCACTTCTAACTTTTTGCTAGTTAATTTGGAATGTAGGCTGGCTTCTCCTCAGAACTCAGCCTTCTGAGTAGTAGGATTACCAGTGTGAGCAGATGGCACCCAACCCTTGTTTGTTTTTTTTTGATGGTTGTGGGGTTTGAACTCTGAACCTGGGCACTGTTCCTGAGCTCTTCAGCTCAAGGTAAGTGCTCTTGAGCTAACGTGAGCCACAGTGCCACTTCTGGTTTTCTGGTGGTTAATTGGAGGTAACAGTCTCACAGATTTTCCTTCCCGGGCTGGCTTTGAACTGTGATCCTCAGATCTCAGCCTCCTGAGTCACCCAACCGTTGATTGTTTTTGAACTCACTGGAAAATCATTTCACTCACTGCAATAAAAATGCACTATGGGAATGCCATCACTCAGAAGCTGAGGCAGAAAGACAGGAGGACAGCTTGGGCTATATAACATGTTCAAGGTCAACACATACAAATTAATGTGACATTGTCCAAAAAGATATACTCTTGGACTGGGAATGTAGCTTAGTGGTAGAGTGCTTGCCTAGCATTCATGAAGCCCTGGGTTCAATTCCTCAGTGTCACATAAACAGAAGAAGCCAGAAGTGGCGCTGTGGCTCAGGTGGTAGAGTGCTAGCCTTGAGCAAAAGAAGCTCAGGGACAGCGCCCAGGCCCTGAGTTAAAGCTGCCTAGGACTGGCAAAAGAAGGAGGGAAGGAAGGAAGAAAGGAAGGAAGGAAGGAAGGAAGGAAGGAAGGTGCTCTTGGCTCACACCTGTAATTCTAGCAACTCAGGGGGCTGACATCTGAGGATCAGGGTTCAAAGCCAGCCTGGGCAGGAAAGTTCCTGAGACTTCTTTTCTTTTCTTTTTAAATTGTGAAAATACTGTACAGACGGGTTACAATTACATGAGCAAGGTAATGAGTACATTTCTTTCTTTTTTTTTTTTGGGGGGGGGGGTCCGGTCGTGGGGCCTGAACTCTGGGCCTGGGCGTTGTCCCTCAGCTCTTCAGCTCAAGGCTAGTGCTCTACCACTTGAGCCACAGCGCCACTTCCGGCTTTTTTCTTTTTGCTTATGTGGTGCTGAGGAATCGAACCCAGGGCCTCATGCATGCAAGGCAAGCGCTCTACCACTGAGCCACCTTCCCAGCCCCATGAGTACATTTCTTATCAAGCACTGTTGCCTCTTCCTTTGTTTCCCTTTACCATTCCCTCCCCCCTCCCCTGCACTAAAGTTGTAATGTTTGTTTGTCAACATAACGTCTTGTACATCTCATTGTTGCAATGGGTCCGCCTGTATCCCTATTTAAACAATTTGTTTTTTCCCTTCCCCTCTCCACATTATACCAACACCAAATACAGTGAAAGCAAGGGTTATACTGAGGGGGAGGGACATACAAAGCAACAAAGAAATCATCTTATAAATGTTAGAAACAACAGCAAGAAAGAAAACCCATTTGAATCCTTATCTTGGGGTTCATTTTGCCTAATATCAACTTATCTGACCCTTTCTGCTTGTCTCAGACTACACTAGTTATTGCAAATAAGGGAAACCATGGGACTATGTTTCTCTGGGCCTGGCTTACTTCACTTACTATAATTTTTTCCAAGTCTTTCCATTTCCTAACAAATGGGGCAATGTCATTCTTTCTGATGGAGGCACAGAATTCCACTATATACCATTTTTTTTTGGGGGGGGTGGGTTGTGGGGCTTGAACTCTGGGGATGGGCACTGTCCCTAAGCTCTTCAGCTCAAGGCGAGCGTTCTACTGCTTGAGCTACAGCGCCACTTCTGGTTTTCTAGTGGTTTACTGGAGATAAGAGTCTCACGACTTTCCTGCCTGGGCTGGCTTTGAACCATGGTCCTCAGATCTCAGCCTCTCAAGTAGCTAGGATTACAAGCGTGAGCCACCGGCGTCGGGCTGATATACCACATTTTCTTGATCCATTCTTCTACTGAGGGGCATGTGAGTTGGTTCCATATCTTAGCTATGGTAAATAATGCTCCAATAAACATAGTTGTGGTGGTAGCTTTAGTATGGTCTTGTTTGTGATCATTCAGGCAAATGACCAAAAGTGGGATTGCTGGGTCATCGGAGAGTTCCTGAGACTCTTATCTCCAATAACCTACTCAGAAAAT